GAGGAACCGATTGTGCAACAAATAGACAGGAAGAAATGGAGCTAGGTGGATTGGCCATACTCTGAGAAAACAGACCATCAAGTGACATCACTAGACAAGCCATTGCTGGAGTGGAACCCGAAAGGGAAGCGGCGAGTTGGTCGTCAGTGTGAGGGTGACTTGGAGGAGGTCATGTGGAGAGGCGATGAAAGCATGTGGACAGACCTGGAGCAGGGTGAAAAAGTTGGCGGGAAACCGAAGGCAATGGAGGTGCTCAGCTGAAGCCCTATGTTCCTCTAGGAACTAAAGGATACAATAATATAATAATAGTGAGGTAGTGTTTGAACCAGGAAGGGGTATTGCTTGTCTATCACCACTTTTTCAGTCATGCAAATTAACTGATTTAGTTTAAGTATTAAATCTGTATCAGAGTAGTCCGATCAGAAACACCTAGTGCCAAAGTGAGTAAGTAGGAGATTCCCAACCTTTGATTAGAAAATTATTACGCATTTTATTGGGCTTCCATTTAATTAGCAATTTTGGTAATGACACCTTCACTGTTTCCAAAAATATGTCGCTTTCCAAAATATGTGTTTTAATAACCTCGACACTTCAATTAGTTTATATCTGTTCGCCAGTATGCCCTTGAAGATCAACAAAAATTTCGAAACAGGGTAAAGAAATGGCCACTCTGTCAGCAGAGAGAAGTCACAAAGCCATAGTAAAGATGGAATGAAAACGATAAGAAGGTTAAAAAACTGTTGTAATTTACAACGACATATTAAACACTCAAAAACAATTGTGTTCACAAGTGGAATATTATTATTATTGTACCTTTGGGTTCCCAGTGGAACATTAGGCTGCAAGTGCACGTCTCCACTTGCTTCTGCTGTACTTTTTACCTGCATCCATGTTAGTCCATACTGCTTCAACTCCTCTTTACACGATCTCCTCCATGTCACCCTTGGATGTCACACTCACCGCTTCCCTTTCTGCCTGGTTCCACTCGAGCAATGGACTGACGCGCGCGCGTTGTCACCCAGCGGCCTCCTCAGCGAACGAGTGTTCAGTCCATCTCCTCTTTCTCCTGCACATTTGTTCGTTGGCGATTGGTTCTTATTTTGTTTTGTTTGTTCCCACAGTTTCTTGTTGGTGATTGATTCTCTCCGACCCGGCCGTCTGATCTTCAGTATAGAGTGAAGACAGTTGTTGATGAAGGTCTGCAACAGGCTGTTGGAAATATTCTTTGTGGCCCGCCCGCCAAGTTTCTAATCCGTATAGAAGAACTGACAAGTGGAATAGTTGTATATTATCAAGACCAGATAGGTTTTCAAACGAAGGTATAACAATAAAGAGAGATCAAGGGGAAACGAAATTTATTGGCCCTATTTATACTTCAGTTTCCTGATTGCTCAGAGGTGTATGAAAATGGCTGATTATTTCATAATCGGGAATATATAATTCCAGTTTAGTGAAATGTCTATAGGTTAACAATCAGAAAATTCAAGTTCAAAGTGAACTGAACACTGAAAACGTTTGATTTTACACGACTTTACACTTTCATAGAACTAAGTCTAACCAATACAACCACTTTATTGTTATTTAATGTCGACGATAAACTGAAATACCGCAAAAGTATAATGCTCAGAGATCTAATGAAGTTTATCAGTTTATGCCTAGCTGTTTATGTCTAGCTAAGTAAAGAATATACATACCGAAAAAAGAAGTGAAATTGAATTTACCAACTTACATATTGATATCTGGAGTGATTGTACAAAAACTAAAGTCGGTTAGACCATTTATGATCAAACTAAAATTGTGCACTCTTAAAGTACACAACATATGTTTTATTTTCAAGTACTGGTTTTGTAGGGATTTGGTTTGATTGTATGGAAGATTTAATCATGAGCTGACATCAGTTAGAAAACCACTGGAAAACAAGTTGTTTCGTCCTAGTTTGGGACTCCTCATCAGTACGCACCCACCGGGGTTTGAACCCAGGGCCTTTTAGTTACAAGGCGAGCTCGTAGACCATTAAGCCACTGGGACCCGATCCAATGGTTCTTGAATTCTAACTTCTGCCAGTTCACGACATAGCGCGACCACTTCGCAGCTGTCCAGTACTCCCAGCTTGTTTTCCAGTGTTTCTCTAACTGATGTCAGCTCATGATTAAATCCTCCATACAATCAAACCAAATCCCTACAAAACCAATATTTGAAAATTAATCTGATGCTCACTAGCGACTGACCCTATTCAGGTAGGTAGTCACCTGGGGTTCTAGTGGGAAGCGTGACCAGTAGGGTACAGCAGGTCGAAGATGAGGCAGTAACTCATCGAAGAAGACATTGCGAAGTGGTCGCGCTATGTCGTGAACTGGCAGAAGTTAGAATTCAAGAACCATTGGATCGGGTCCCAGTGGCTTAATGGTCTACGAGCTCGCCTTGTAACTAGAAGGCCCTGGGTTCAAACCCCGGTGGGTGCGTACTGATGAGGAGTCCCAAACTAGGACGAAACGACTGTCCAGTACTCCCAGCTTGTCTTCCGGTGGTTCTCTAAATGATGTCAGCTCATGATTAAATCCTCCATATGTTTTATTAACATGAAGCAATAAAATTAAATGCATCAAAGTCGGATAGGAATTTTTTCCCCAAGATTTAGACTTCCGGGCACGGACGAAAGCTAACCAGCTAGTATTTCTAGATATTGGCGATAATACGGTCATTGCAAAACACATGGAAAGTAACGTTTACTCGAAAACGGCGTGACTACAGTTGAGAATATTCAGGTACATGTGAAGATATCTATGTAAAGATGCCACTGAGAAAGGTAGGAACCGACTGCACTACAAGGAAGTCAGCGAAAACTAGAAGTAGTTTGTTCGAATTAAATGAACTCAACATCTACACAATAAGCATCAACAAAAGTTGTCCACTGAGAAGAATACAGAAACGCAGATTATCGATGGTCAACAGAAGAATCGTTCACTTTTTCATCCAGAATACCTCAGAAACCGCTAGAAGGCTGTACCACATTTCAATATTTGTCTCCCTTGACACACCCACCAAAGTAATCAAGAATTTATTGTTTAGGTTCAATGTATAAGTATACACAACCACAACCATCTTGATAATTGTATGAAATAATGATTAAGAGACATGATGATTTGCATACCACATGCATACCAGTAAGGGTGAGATTTAAAAAAATGAATGCGAAATGAAAGCAGATGTCAAATAAAGCCAAAGAATTATCTGAAATAATAACACAAATATATTATCTAAATTTTTTATTTTGAATGCCACCCGCAAACCTCTGTAAGAACAAAGGGCTAAAGACAGCATGACCCATTAATATAACTATAAAACTTGGGGACTGTGGTAGAGTATAACTCTATTATGGGTAAGACTTTATTTTGATAAATCACACAGTTTTATGCAGTAATATTAACTGATGACGTTTCGAGCACAAACTATTGCTCATAATCATATCAAGTTACTTCGAATACTGAGCAGTTAGGAGAAATCTTGTCTCGAGTACAATCCAGTCTCTTGAAGCAAAATGTTTTTCTATTCTTCATATTTAGAAGAAATTTATCCATAAAATGAAATGATATGCTATGAAATATTTTTAAATAATAAGACTTCACGTCTTCTCCCAGGAGTGGTTTCTATTCAGCCGTCTTACTGGGTAATTTACTACATTAACTGGCGTTAAAAATTAGAAGCATACTTTTCTTGCATATCATTTCTTCGTAAATAAATTGAAAGATGCGCTTTGGGAGACGTTTTGACTGGCTAACAATATATTTTCTAGGCATAGATCAAAATTTTATGTTGGTTTATGAAACAGTGAATTTCCTTGAAGCAGAATTATATTAATCACTGAAAGACGCTGACATAAAGTGAATGGAATTCACGATTATATAATCTGTGAAGGCTGAATATTCTACCTATGTATCTTTTATAATTTTGGAAATGAACAGGTTGGTTTCGGATTCGAAACTCACTGGGTGCCTACTGCCATTGAGTCCCAAACTAGGATGAAACAGCAGCTCTCCAGTACTCCCTGGTTTTCAATAGTTTTCTGACTGAAATCAATCCGTGGCCTAACCTGAAGCAAAAAAGAATCCCTACAAACTAATTCTTGAACAGTATTTTATTTTTCTCTAATGAATAAGACTACTCATTTATTTTCAGGAGTAAAAGACGTGTTCAAGACACTTAGGGTTGCAGGAAAATTTACAGAAAGGGAGAGAAAATATTTTTTTTTTCAAACCAATACTTAAGATATTCTCCACTAGCGATTGTTTTACTAATATAATCAAGAATATTAGCATACTTTGCCAGAGTTTATAATCCACTACAGAAATATGGAATTTCGTATTAATCAGAAAATGCCACTGACCAAGAATAAAGGAATTGCTTTTACAATGAAATTAGTATTTTTTTTTGGTACTGTGTTGTGTTTATGGGCACATTAGAGTTTTTGTTATAACAGGAGAAGTATATTCATTCAAAGTATGCCTTATTAAAAGCGTGAATATGGCAGCAGCTTAAAAATAGATCAATTCAATAAATTGAAATCCCGGTTTTCTCCTAAGCCACTACTGTACAACAAATCTACAAACCTCAGAGTGAAATTATGTACAAAATCATTTTCTGATGATAAAAATCAATGTTGCATAATCTTTTGGAAAATATTAGTTTGCAATAAACCTGATTGTTATTGCTGTAGAATTGATCATTTGCAGTTCTCTAACTGTCATATAAATAATCAAATATTGGCAATAAAAAGCTAACTTTCTCTGCAGCTTGTCAATCAGAATATGTGTTACTGACTACCTAGTTAGCTAAGTTATTTAGTTAGCAATTGTATACTAGAAGCGTCTTATTTTTGGGTTTACTTATTTATCAATTATTTAGTGCACTAATATTTAATACCTGTATACCACATGTATAATGTTATGAATTTATACTTATGTGTCCATTTCTTTTTTGTTTTTGTTTTGGTCGATTCGCAGAACCTATTGCTCAAGATATGGCAAAAGCAGATGCTCTATCAATAACTATAGAGTTTATGCAGTCTAATTATACGGATTGTGAAATTTATACTAACGGCTCTTTGGTAATTGTATCCCTCTTACAGATTGGTAAGCTACATTACAACTTTGCAGTAGTTTATTAAAATTAAATTTAAAGTACTCAAAATTTTTTTCCTGTCTATTGTTTTGTGACATTAGATAGCATGTCCTACTATTCCTAGTTGATTTAATACTGTCTATTACTAGAGATAGTTAACTTCAAGTTATACATTTTGAAGTATTTATTGTAACTAGATGAAAACTTTACAAATTTTACCCTGAAATATGTAACTATGTTTTTACGAGTTGATCACGGATTGATATCAGTTAGAGAACCATTGAAAACCAGAGAGTACTGGACAGCTGCTACCGATGATTCCCAAACTAGGCTGAAGCAGCAGTTGTTCAGTACACCCTGGTTTTCAATGGTTCTCTAACTGATATCAATCCATGATCAACTCGTTAAAACATAACTAACCCTTACAAACCAAACTATAGAAAGGTAACCATGTTTGTCCATCAATGGAGGTAGCTATTCGGAATCTTAGCGATTCAACAAAATGATTTATTAAATCTCCAACTGATCACTATTCATTTTTTTTGGAAGAATGAAAACATTCTTATTGTAAATGAACAATATTAGCCTTATATATATCATAAATTTTAAAATAAAAGAGAATTTGCATATAATAATAACAATAATAATTTCATTTTCTCAGCAATACAACTTTACTCCAGTATAATAATCTTATTGTATAAATTGTCTTTTGTGTTTGTGTATTATTGCAATTAATTTAATTATTATTCTCATATAAAATTATGCAGCTTTGACACATTGGGCACTTATGATGAGGTTTCTAATATGAATTCAGTAATATACAACTTAATATAGTAGTTTACTAGCCTACATCAACATATCAAGATGAAAACTGACAAATGTTTGCATTAAGAAATGAGAAAAAAAAGTAATAATCAAATGATGTATTTTATACTGAAAAGGTATATATGTAGAAGATAAAGGGAATCTGGATATATCGTACTACCTTGGAGATAGGAATATAGTACTCAGTATCATATCGATACTGAAGATCAGATGGTAGTCAATAAAGGATAAACAACAAGGAAGTCTGGCAAGCAGCAGAAACAACCAAAGAATGTGCAAGAGGAAATGGAAGTGGATTGGACATTCTCTGAGATAATAATGCCCTAGACCTTCAAGTGGAATCCGTATGGGAAAAGATCAGTTGAGTGTCTGAGGATGAAATAGAGAAGATCATACGGAGAGGAACCAGAACCTTATGGTTAAACTTGGAGCCAGGTAAAAAAGATTGCAGAGGACAGGGTGAAATAGAGATGTGCGCCTGAAGTCCCAGGAGCCCATGGGATCATTAATGGACTATAGAATGTCCCCGGCTATCTTTCCAGGTTGTGTTGTTAACGCTTTCCTACCTGGCAAATGTACACAATCATTGATTTTTTGGTAACACTACCTTAGGTAGTCTCGTAATAATAGACTAATATACGATAATTTAAATTAAGGTGAAAGCTTCCTTCAAAGCTAATTATAATCCACTTAAGATTATCATCTGAAGTAAAGGTAGGAAGAATGGGTGTCATTTGTGTCTGAAGCACCTCAATGTGTCTACAATTCAATGAAAAAGCGTGCGAAAGATAAACGAAGCCGATCAAAGGGTTTCATGTAAATGCTGTACCCAGGAACCACAAAAAATTATTGCACCTGTTAAATCTTCAGGGGACGTTTAAGACTGTACCACTGAATCAGTGAGAGATGTTTCCGATTTTTCATCTGTATTCTACATTTAAAAAAACTTGAGTAAGACTTAGGAAGATTTGCAGATTTCTTCGCTGTTGGATTATTTACCACTGTATGTACTTTATGTGAACATAACGTGACATATTCAAAGGTCGATCGTGATATTTCGTCAATGAGACAAGTAAGTCAATCGATGAATTCATAACTACTTATAGACTGAAAGAGCTGAATGTGTTCCATAGGTCAACTGAGTGTTTCAATCAGTGTGTTATTAGCGTTGATCGATTACTTCGGAAGCACTGGAAAAATAGTTTGATGGTGTTCTAATATCGTACTGCGATATGATTAACGTTGACTCTGAGATGTCTACATCCTAGGTGTCTTAGACTGTATATCATATCTTGCAACCAGTCATAATGATTTAAATGGGAATATACGTTGTCTTCATTCTCATTTTTATGTCATATCTCTTTATTCGTATATTTTCATCTTTCATTTTAATGTAATTCTGCAATATTTGTTTATATGGCTGTTACCTCCTTGTTATCCTTTGAATTATTATTATTATTGTATCCTTTAGTTCCTAGAGGAACATAGGGCTTCAGCTGCGCACCTCCATTGACTTCGGTTTTCCGACAACTTTTTCACCCTGCTCCAGGTCTGTCCACATGCTTTCATCTCCTCCTCGCATGACCTCCTCCAAGTCACCCTTGGACGACCAACTCGCCGCCTCCCTTTCGGGTTCCACTCGAGCAATGGCTTGTCTAGTGATGTCACTTGATGGTTTCCTCAGCGTATGGCCAATCCATCTCCATTTCTTTCTGCCTATTTGTTTCACAATCGGTTCCTGATTGGTTCGCTCCCAGAGATCCCTGTTGCTGATCTTTTCTGGCCATCTGATCTTGAGTATTGAGCGGAGACAACTGTTAATGAAGGTTTGAAGTTTGTTTGAGATGCTCTTTATGACTCGCCAAGTCTCTGATCCGTATAGTAGCACTGACTTCACATTGGAGTTGAAAATCCGGATCTTATTTTTGATGCTGAGTGCTGTTGACCTCCACACAGATTTGAGAGTAATGAAAGCTTGTCTTGCTTTTCCGATTCTGGCTTTGATGTCCTCGTCAGTTCCGCCTGTAGTTGAGACGATGCTTCCCAGGTAGGTGAAGGAGGTTGTTTCTTTCAGGTTCTTCCCATTTATGCTTATTGTTGTCTGTTGTTGTTGTGCTGTTGATGTTGGCTAGGAATCTTCATCATCTCTGTTTTATCTATGTTCACGTGAAGTCCTATCTTTGATGCTTCTTCTGCCAACTTGTTACTTTTCACTTGCATATCTTCCAGTTTATGGGAAATCAGACATATATCATCGGCGAAATCCAGATCCTCCAAGTCTTTTGTGTCAGTCCATTTTATGCCTGTTCCCTCGTTGGTTGCCGTTGTCTGTCGCATTATCCAATCAATTGCAATCAGGAAGATCATTGGTGATAGTAGACAGCCTTGCCTCACTCCCGTCCTCACTTCGAAGGCTTCCGTAAGTTTCCCGTTGTGGATTACTTGGCATGCAGCATTGTCGTATAACTGTTGGATGAGGTGTATAATTGTCGATGGGACCCCGTAGTAGCGAAGTAGTTTCCAAATGACCTCTCGATCGACGCTGTCGAAGGCCTTTTCAAAGTCGATGAAGTTGAGATAGAGAGGTGACTGCCATTCCAAGCTTTGTTCAATGATGATCCGTAGAGTGGCGATTTGATCAATACATGATTTGTTTCTCCTGAATCCAGCCTGTTCCGGACGAAGTTTTTCATCTAGGGCTTGTTTGATTCTCTCCAGGATGATGCGACTTAGTATCTTGCTTGGAATGGACAGAAGCATAATTCCACGCCAGTTTTTACATTGACTTAAGTCTCCTTTCTTTGGAAGTTTGAATAAGTATCCGTTCTTCCAATCCTCGGGTACTTTGCCCTCTTTCCACACCTTCTCCAGTAGTGGTGTCATCAAGTCCGCTGTTGTCTCTGGGTCTATTTTCAAAGCCTCTGCTGGGATTCCATCTGGTCCCGGTGTTTTCCCAGCTTTAAGCATCTTGATTGCATTCAGGACTTCTGATTTCGTCGGGGGGTCAGTGTTCACTGGTAGTTCTGCTTCCGTTGTTGGTATTGCTGGACGTGTTGTAGGTGGCGGACGATTTAGAAGTCTTTTGAAGTGTTCAACCCAGTGCTTTCTCTGTTCCACCTCTTTGGTGATTGACTTTCCATTGTCGTCCTTTATTGGCTTAATCTGTGTCGAACGTTTGCCCGAAAGGTTCCTAGTTGTTTGGTAGAGTGTGGCGAGGTCTCCTTTGCCTGCAGCTTGTTCTGCTTCGTTTGCCATGGTTTCATAATATTTTCTTTTGTCTTCCCTGGCACTTTTCTTCACTCTTTTGTTCAGTGTATTGTAGCTTGCATTCAGCTCCTGTTTTTGTTGCTCGTCAGTGCACTGGATAATCTTTTGCTTCACTGTCCTTCTCTCTTCTATTAGTTTCCAAGTGTCCGTAGTGAGCCACTGTTTGTCCTGTCTCTTTTTTCTGCCTAGAATTTCTATGCAGGTTTGGCTCCACACCGTTTTCAAGTTGTTCCAGTGCTTTTCGACGCTGACCTTTTCGCTGGTGTTGATTTGTGTCTCGGCTTTGTCCTTTATGCTTGCAATGAAGATGTCCTTTGTAGCCTGGTCCTTCAGCTTTTGAGTGTTGAACTTGGCTTGTGGTCTATCTGCAGCTCCTGATTCCCTGAAAGCTTTTAATTTGATTTGGATTGTCCCTTGTACGAGATAGTGGTCTGAGCCAACGTCTGCTCCTCTTCTTGCTTTTGTGTCCAGTAGGCTGCGCCTCCACTTCCTTGAGATTGAGATGAAGTCGATTTGGTTTTTGGTTTGCCCGTCTGGTGACACCCATGTAGCCTTGTGGATATCTTTGTGCTTGTATACACTGCCACCAATCACCAGTTCGTTGAAGGCGCAGAAGTCGGCGAAGAGTTCTCCGTTTTCATTCATTTCTCCTAGAGCTTCTCTACCCATGATGAGTTCCCTTCCCGTATTGTCTGGTCCCAGTTTGGCGTTCATGTCTCCCATTAGTATTTTCATGTCGCCAGCTGGAGTATTGTCCATTGTTGCCTGTAGTTGCCTGTAGAATTCTTCTTTCTTCTCGAGGTCTGCGTTGTTTGTGGGTGCATAACATTGTATGATTGACACTTTCCTTCCTTTGGAGTTGAACCTGGCGGTCATTATCCTGGACGAAATCGCCTCCCATTGTATCAGGGCTTTCGTTGCCGTTGGTGACATCATGATAGCCACGCCCTCGGTGTGCGTGTGGTTATCTTCTGGGTGACCGGAGTAGATCACTGACTCACCTGTTGACAATTTGGTGAGTCCACTCCCATTCCATCTGCTCTCACATATTCCCAGCACTTGTATTCCGTATCTTTTCATCTCGTTGGCGATCTGGGCAGCTTTCCCAGTCTCGTACATAGTTCGGACGTTCCATGTTCCTACACAGACTTTTTCTTTTGGTGCAAAGAGGTTCATTCTGCTGAAGGTTCTGTAGCAATTTTTGTTTACAGGGTGGGGTTGCTAGCCTCACGCCTGAGAAAAGAATGATTACATTAAGTTAAAGTTTAGAGAGAAGCAACTTTTTGGGTTGCTCCCCTCAAAATCAGAAAATAACGGACAAACAATGAGAACAACATCAACAAAGGAAACAGTTCACAGAAAAAAGGGCAAAAAGCGACGACAACTATACAATAAGACAACATGCAATATAGTTCAGTACAGTTAACTAAAATGATATCTTAACCATAAACTCACTGACTTGGAGCAACTTGAACATATAAATCCAACAATATATACAATTATAGATGTGTTTATGTTTAAAAATTCCACAAATCCAAATAGTTAGTTATATGTATTATCTGTCAATAAGATTGTATTTTTTGGATAGAGCGTTCGAAAAGTTAATAATTGTGATAGTTTCCACAAACTCTTGACATAAAATTTTACAGAAATGAGAGTTTTTATTAATAGGCAAAATGTAGCGCAGTAGTCGAAAAGCCTTTCATCGGAATGCATAATGCTGAAAAGTTTCCATTGTGTATGATATTCATTGTTCGGAATAGTGTTTAATATTACATATATATATATATATATATATATATATATATATATATATATATGAGTCGTTATAATAATTATTATTGTCTCCTTTTATTCCTAGAGGAACATAGGGCTTCAGCCTCACGTCTCTATTGCTTTCGTTTCCACCTGGCTCCATGTCTGCCCACATCCTTTCATCTCCTCTTCCCACCATCAACTCGCCGCTCCCCATTTGCGTTCCACTGAAGCGATCACCTGACGTGTGATGTCATACACTTGATGGTTCGTTTTCTCAGAGTATGGTCAATCCACCTCCATTTCTTCCTGAATATTTGTTACATAATTGGTTCCTTCTGGGTTAGTTCGCTCATTGGCAGAGATCGATTCCTATTTCTGATGTTTTCTGGCTGGCCATCTGATCTTGAGTAGTGTTGGGCGGAGACGGATGTTGATGAAGATCTGTAATTTGTTCAAAATGCTCTTCGTGACACGGCATGTCGCCGAATCTCTGAACCGTTTAGTAGCACTGACTTCACGCTGGAGTTGAAAATCTGGATTTTATTTTTCATGCTGAGTGGTGTTGATCTCCACACAGCCATATATATATATATATATATATATATATATATATATATATATATATATATATATATGTATATATATATATATCCGACAGGCTGTGTGAATCTATTGCAACCAATCCCCATCGCTTTCACAATATCTTAAAATTGAATTCTGCTTACTACGTTTGTCACATAAGTGCTATAACCAATCTGTTTCTCTAGGTAAAACTGTATCTGCTTCATAGCTGGTCATTATTGTAACGATAAATATTATATTTTATAATTACACTGTTATAGATGGATGTCGTAGATCACCTGGGTTTAATCAGATTTTAAGTTTGTCGAAAGCTAAATACTTCTAACTTTTGTTATTCACGATGTGGTGTCCAATTTCACCTCTGAATATATCTTCTCACTGTCACCAAGATGGATTGAAACAGTTGCTATTTAATTCTTGTTAAAATTTCAGAAAATTCATTAATGGTACATTGGTCGAATCTCAGCATACCCAAGGTTAGAATATTTGTCTTGACCTTATAAGTGACTGACTTTAAGATGTGTTATATGATATTCTAGAGAGAAGTCATGACCGTTGGAGTTCACCATGTCGAGTATGAGAAGATATACTAACTCATGGGACGAAATTGTGTGCTACATCATAAATAAGTGAAAGTTATATTTCATGGATGCTGGATTACAACGTAGTAACTGGATATTAATGTGGTGGCCTTGCGTCAACAAATCCTAAGTTCCCCTCCGGATGAGATCATGAGTGCTCACTGCTTATAAGAAAGAAAACAGCTATGTCTTACAATATTCAGTGTTCCTGCAGCTAAATCTACTTTGTAACTGGTTGTAAATCACTCACCATTCCATTTTCGAGTAGATTAGCAGAATATTAGTCATCTCTAAGTTTAAGTAACATCATTTACACTTTGTGACCTGAAATAGTAGAATTTATAAAATGTTTACGCAATACAGCGGCAATTGCAAAACATTTCAGTGGTTCATGTCATGATTATTTCTTTTGTTTGGTCAGCTGACAAGTTTTAACCAATAAATACTACATTTCTCCTCTCTTGGTACTCACTTGCTTTCACCAATAATGATTACTGACTGGAGTACATAAAATACAGTTTTTAACTCTAAATCACTTATCATTATATCACCAATGGAAACTTTGAATCAAGCGCTTCTAAAACTAATATTTAAAATTTGTAAGTTTGCGGGAAAAGTGCATGGGGAAAACACTTTAGACCCCATAAAAGTACTGTAACTTAACTGATGTTTATCGAAGTCTTCCCGCAATCGAGATGTGTACAGTTTAAATTTTTCTGTAAATTTGGTTTGCAAATCCATTCATAATTATGAGTTTGCTTGATAACGATTAAATACAACTACAGATAATCAAAAGCAATCTGATAGGCGAATTTCACATTTTCATAAGAAACACCACAGTTCAAAATAAATATTGTACACTTGATTACAACGGTGAAAATTCATAGATTTGTTGTTATTATTCATTTATCAACTTTCTAATGAAACATAGAGACACAGAGGCACATCCTCAATCTACTCAGCTCTCTGCCACCACTCTCAAATGACTTTAAGACTGTTCATAAGCTTACATTATCTCTTCACGCTATCTCTCCCATGTCACACCCAGACACCCAACCCATCGCACTCTATTTGGATTCAACTCCGGAACTTCGCGTATGGTATCACTTGAAGGTCTCCTAGGCGCGTGTCCAATCCACCTCAATTTCTCATTGTATGTTTGTCAGGCAATAAGTTGTTGGCTAGTTCACCGCCTGGAAGACTTTCTTGTTAATCAGTCATCTGGTCTTCAGTAACGACTGAAGGGAATACTTGCTAATGAAAGTATGTAGGCCACTGCAGATGCTTATGGTGACGCAAAAAGTCTTTGAAGCATATAGAAGAAATGACTGGATATTAGTGTAGATATATGGGATGTTATTCGTTCTCCTGAGTACTTTAGATCTACATAATGATTTTAGAGTAATGAAAACCTGTTTTGTGTTCCCCATTCGACCGTTGCTGTCTTCAACATTCTAATCAGTGGTGCTTGTCTGCAGTTAAAACGATGCTACTAGGATAACTGAAAAAGACTATTTCCTTTCGACTTTGCCTAATGATGGTGATTAGTGTATGTAGTTGGTAGGGTATTTTCATCACTTGCATCTTCACTACGTCCAAATGAATTCCAATCTTCGTCAGCTCTTCTGCCAACTTGAATTTGTGCGAAATGGGACATAAATGTCTGCCAAAGTTTAACTGTGTCACTGAAAGGTGTTACAGATGAATATAAGTGATGAGTTTTCTCGAGTTTGCAGCAGTGGAAATTCCCCTTAAAGTATTAGTATTAGAATATTCTATTATAAAATTTTATTTTTAGTTAAGTAATTCGACTTCATTTAACGGTCCATTGTTTTAATTTTGGAAATTTATCAAATTCTATTTTTTTTTCTTTTTTACATAACTATAGAGTTTGTAGCAAATCAAATCGTGAAATATAATAATTTAGTTCCAATGTTATTACGTGGTTTGATTATTTTCAAAGCTTTACCAAACACTATTTGGAGTATATGTTTATGCCTACAAATTGTTATAAACTTATCAGGTAAGTGGCATTTCATTCATCAGTAAATATTCGATTTTTCCTAATTCTCTTTCCACCATTCAGAAATGATCAATAATCATTGTGTTTATTACAAAATGACTTCATCATAAAACTTAAATTTCTTGCGAAATGCGTGACTTACTGGTAGCATGTATATATAAACTAAATGTGCTAAACTGGGAGATATTCTTCCCCAGTAAATAATCTCCAACAGTTTTTCGTAGCAAAATCACGTGTTCATTGTTGGTTAAACGGTCAGCATATAATCATTAAAAAAAAACGTTTTGGCGCATCGCACTTAGTGAAGGTGTGTTGCGCAATAACAATAAAAAACACGTAACACGGTAATATGGATTTCTAGCTGAAGAATAGAAAGCTTTATGTGAGAAGATAAATAAGCTCATGGACTTGACAGAAATTCAATAAAGTAGTTAACTCAGATAGGAGTTTTAGCAATATCAATGATAGTAACAGTGTATTTTATGGTGATTAGGAAATTACAAGAGTAAAAATTAGATTACAACCACAAGAAAGATATGATCGAAATCCTCTGCTATACTCGAATGAGAACTAACATATACATTTCAGTCATTCAACTTAGGTATGCCCAAAATCAGAGTTCAATAAATATCTGATTAGGAGACCGCTTTACCGAAGAGAGCAAGGCTGAAGAGGGTAGGATTAGCCTTTATTTTCGATAAGTACAAATGACATTGATTTTGATTTTGAAGTTGGCATCATCCATTCTGCATTTAAACATGTTTCGATAGCCAATGTCTGTCAGTTGTTAGATTTTCTCTCAGCATTCTTACCTCTTCTTTGCTTTTTCTGCTTAAGTGGCTTTCCTACTGGAACACAAATGTCGGTTGCTTCTACAAAGACGTTACTCGATATACGACATACCTATTTATAAGTAGTATATACTACAATACTACCTAATTTTTTCTCGATAGCCTAGTGGCACGGTGATTAGGACTCTTGCCGACCATGCACATAGTTCGAGGTTCGAGCCCACGCCGACGCACACCTGATATCTATGGTCGGCCTGCGAAATTTGGACTACCGATATTCACGCTGAAAGTTGCATACTTGTACCAAAAATAGAGTTTGGAATCAGGCTGTAATCAAAAAATAAATAAATAAAGAATAGTGTTTAAATGAATTTTCAGAGGGTGAGAGACAATGCTGCATATGAAGCATATTTAGCGAAGCAAGTAGAAGCATTTAAACTGATATATATATATATATATATATATATATATACACCAAGTATTTTGTAACTTCAGAATACTTCTGGTAACTCAATATCTCTTCATAGGCAATGAGGACATTCCTTGAAGCTTTGGCTAAATGTTGTCTTCAATAAAGCTTCATAGTCAGTCATCTCCCCCTAAGCACTTCCCGTATAAATTTCATCTGTCTCAATCCTCCAGCTTTTTTTATAAAATGAATGAATCAGATTTCTGCTTCGGCAAACCAGTGCATCAAATTTTTAAATTCTTCACACTAGTGCGAGGTGACATCCTATAAAATTGATCATTTTGTTTTTTTTTTTACAAAAAAACATTTGGAATTTTAAATTTTAACTTCCTTCGCACTTCTACTGTGAAGTTGATTTAAAATCAACAACTGTTATACCTTCTATGGTTCAGTATCAACATTACTTGTATCATTAACATGTATACAAAGGTCACTCACTCATTTATAGATTATGTAGACACGAAAGCATTGCCTTTTCTAGTAGTGAATCATGGAAATAATATTATTCTACCTTACCGTCAGTCATCAATATTTTCATATGCCTAATAAGCCAATTTAAGTGTACTGATTTAAATAGCTTAATTGCATATATATATATATATATATATATATATATATATATATATATATATATATATATAGAGAGAGAGAGAGAGAGAGAGAGAGAGAGAGGAGCATTCCAGACATGATAATGTCTAATTTGTAATTAACACGGATGTTACTTATACAATTATTATTCGTGGTAGCAATAATGACTATGTAATTAATGGTAAAAGTAATAAAAACATTTTCCGAAGGATATACATGAATATAATGTAGAAAATGTAAAACTTGTAGGTAATTATAGGATGATGGCGGATCACAAACCCAATACAGAAATGAAGACTAAAGAGATAAATGAATTGAGATTATTTTTTAGTTTCTGTATAAATCTAGTTACAATTAACCACGTTAGTTGTAGAGAAACTACTTCATGATATTTCAGAATTTCTGTCTTCTGAATGAATTGTTTTAATTTATCAAAAGTGTATCAAATTTATGCCAAAATAAAAGAAATATGAATATCTTCCTTGCTGAAAACTTATTTTACAAACGAATTATTCAGATTCACAAAAAATTATGAGCTTTTTTCTACTCAACAGAGTGAAAACTAGGTGTATGTGCCTTGTTTAATATCTATTGAGCTATAATCCAACTTATCCCAGTGTTATGCAATACGGATTCGCCAAAATACAGTTAGTTCATCAGTGTACGTAAAAAAATTCCACAAACTTGCTTATAACTAGTATTTAAGAAGATTATAGTGTGTATATTTGTTGTATGATCGTTGAATATTTCCTCGTGGTCATTCTGTTTCTTTTTTCATTTTTGACTAATTCGCAAAACACACTGTTTCCAATAATTGGTGTTTTGAGAGGTCGTAATGATGTCCCATACATTTCTAATTCGTAATTACCGCTTGTTGGCAGTCAGAAACGAACTCATTTCTGACCAAGAACTCGAACTTAGGACAAAAGTGTCACTTGTGGACATAATACTGAAAGTGCAACTATGCCGGACTTTCACAGTATTTGAATTCCAAGGGAAAATATACAAATAAACTGAGGGAGTTGCCATGGGATAACCAATATCCCCGGTTATGGCAGATATATTCATGGATAGGTGGGAAAACATAGCGATCGAAACGTTCAGCCCCACCTCAAAAGTATGGTAGAGGTATGTAGATGACACATTCACTGTACTCAGAACACAAGATGTAGATAGATTTTTCGAACACCTTAACTCAAAGGTAGAGGCAATTCAATTCACTTATGAATTGGAAAGTCAGGCAGGATGGTTTCCAATGTTAGATTGCAGCGTAAAAAGGAAAGAAGATGGGAAGTTAAACACTAGTGTTTACTGGAAACCAACACATTCAAACAGATATTTGAACTACCGATCATCCCATCCTATATCAGTAAAAATAGGATTGGTGAAATGTTTAAGTGACAGAGCACAAGAACTAAGTAGTACCAAGGAAAATCTAAGACAGGAAGTGATACACATAAATGCAGCCCTGAAACTTAATAATTACCCGGATAAATTAGTCAAGAAATATGTAAGTAAATGTAAAAATAAAATAAATAATGATAACAGAGATAGTGATAATAATAATGATAATAATAATAATAGAAATGACGACACCAACAATAAGGAATCTAAATCATCAGTAGTAATTCCATACACGGAAGGAACCTCGGAAACCACCTTACGAAGAATTCTTAACAAGGTAGGAATACAAGTGGCTGACATTCAAACCAACCACAAACTCAATTAGAAACAAGCTTTGTCGGTTAAAGGATTGTTATGTACTGGTCGAGTAATTAATAGTCCTGACGCAAGAAGGCGGAAATCAGAAAACCACCAGGTTCACGATGATACTTGTATTTTATTTAAACAAGGAAAAATCAATGTCACACAAGTGTATGAGCGAATGTTCAAAAATGAACGAATCAATAGACAGTCTTAACATGATTGTAAATTATAATGGAATATCGATCCATATATACATAGCAAAATATAACAGACTATCAAAAACAAACACATATATCATGTGGGTACATATCAAGTATCAATCCTGTGGAGCCTTTCAAACAACACAATTTAGGTTATCTAATACCCTGATCGAATGATTATCAGGTCAAATACATAGGTCAAACTAGTAGAACAGCGGCAGTCAGACTAGCCGAGCATAAAAGCCTACCAAAATCTAGATTAGTTGACCCGAATAAGATAAGAAATCTAGAGAACAATTCAGCTATAGCACTACATGCAGTTACACACAACTATACAATACGCTGGATGGGATAGGATGACAGTTTTAAAATCCAATGCAACTGACAGGGTGGAGGGAGAGATTGATAACAGAAGCTTTGTTCATCGAATCAACTGCAGATACGTGTAATCGGAATGATTCAACACCTGTCCCAGATATCTGGAAAATTCTATTACCCATACGACAAATAGGAGAAGACAAAGGAAACTATAAAACTAAAGTTTCGAAGTCGTGTGACTATAATTGATGAAATGATTATGAAGAATAAATTTTGTTCGAAACGTCATACAGTAAATAATACTGTTTTACTGTGTGGTACATCTAATAAACAAACTATCATGGAATTACTTACTACCACAGTGCCCAAGTTTTACACATACATTAGTGTATAATATGGCAAGACAAATGCACCTGAAATGAAGCAAAATGAAATTTGCGGTGTTTGACTTCCAGGTGAACCATAGAACCGTTTTCTGATTTACTGTGTAAGCTACAGCAAATAGTGTAAGGCTTGTAGAATTACACTTCCCTATTTGTTCACATTTTAATTCTGAAGATTACTCCCTTTTTGCATACTTTCTGTTTTGGTCAAACAGTACAGAATTGCTGTGTTCATATATCTCTCATTGTTCAAGAAAATTCTATCCCACACCTTGTGATATTCAGAGAATCTTTCTTGACAAACACAATAGAAATCGCTTTCGTTGTGAAACGACCAACTAATTTTAGTATTCAAAGCACTTGATAATATCAACAGCGTGGTAATGGAAGATACTGTAAAACCGTTTAGTGATTAAGCAATATCAGAAATCTTAACAAAGACTGAGAAAAGATGAAAGCATAGTGTGTTAATCTATTGTTTTTGTATTCCCCATTTAAAATGCGTCACTTTTCAGCCTTCTTTCTTTTTCCTCTGTTTTACTCCAATAACATTTAAACATTGTGTTATTTCAAACAGTATAAAATGTCTGAATAGCTTAGCAGTTTAGCTGCTATTTTTTTCGTAGTCATTACCACTCAGTAGTGGATACTGATGATCAGTCTTGAAAAAGCCAATGATGAAAATATTTTTAGCTTTTATAAATGTCAAGCAAAATCCTTTTCGTATGTTATTTTGTCTACATCTTCTTTGATACTATTGATTTGTATTTGTCTTGTCATTTGTATCGCATGGCTCTTTGTTTTAAAGAGTGTTTAAATTTTTTGGTGAACAGTTTAAACAACTTTTCTTTGTGATAACATTCAAGCTTTTGGTAAAAATATTAGTAAAGAAGAAGAAGTATAATTCATATTCAAACTTTTAAAATATGATATTGTATGGATCAACTGACAGTCATTTATGCACAACAAATATATCTGTATTTTCAGACTAGACAGTAATTTCTTGGGAAACTAATTTGATTGACGCGGATTTAAAACAGCAATATATTCAAGTGAACAGTTTATTAGTTTTGAAGGATTTCAAAACAATTTTGTAATGGAATAAGGTGACTCGTTAATGTAATAACACAATGTGAATCATGATTTGATTATTAAATCTAGTTAGGCAATTGAGTGTTGTATATCGTAACACTGAGTGCTGAAGGTGACAGTTAAGTTATATTATTGTCTCCTTTAGTTCCTAGAGGAATATATGGCTTCAGCCGCACGTCTTCACTGCGTTTGGTTTTCTAACAACGTTTTCACCTGGCTCAATGTCCGCCAACATGCTTTCATCTCCTTTTTGCATGACCAATCAAACACAATCCCTACAAAACCAACACCTGGAAATTAATCTGCTGCTCACTAAAGATTGACCCTATTCAGGCAGTTAACCTAGGGTTCTAGTGGGAAGCCGTGACTAGTAGGTTACAGCATTTTGAAGGTGAGGCAGTAACTCATCGAAGAAGACATTGCAAAGTGATCGCGCTATGTCATGGGCCACTGTATCGGGTCCCAGTGGCTCAGTGGTCAGCGAGCTCGACTTGTAACCAGAAGGTCCTAGGTTCGAACCCCGGTGGGTGCGTACTGAGGTAGAGTCTCAGATAGGATGAGATACCTGTCGAGTAATCCCAGGTTTCCCATTTGTTCTCTAACTGATATTACCTCATGATGAAACCCTCCAGTCTTTGAATGTATTGAACTCATTCCATTAGAAAACTGGATTCAAAGTTGTACAATTTACTTGTATAGTGTGTCAGTGTCATGCGTAGTTAATTTAGTCCACTTCATCATATGTACACATTGGTGTAAACGTAAATAAAAAAGTTCATGACTTAATTAACCAATAGAGGTGATAAAGCACAAATTCATTTTAAGATGGATGTATCCTCAAAAAGATGTGGAAGGTAAAGTACTACTGAAAAAGTGCGAGTTAAATAAGAAGTATGAAGAAGGAATAATTTAGATTAAAGCATACTTAACAGAAATCTGAATAATACTTTTTGGCATTCAAAACACTGAATTGAAAGCATGTAAAATAAAACAGCAAACAAAGCTGTTGGTGAATATAAAAGCAGTTGTGTAATTCAAGGTCAACTATAAAATATCATTAGTGCACATTAGATGCATGTCAGTTGACAGACTGCTGCTACTTGTGCACGACATAACAATCTACTATTATTTCAACTATTAATTACATAGTAAAGTGTGTCTGAGTCGATAGAACTACCTTTATTGAAGATTAACTCACTGATAGCGGTACTAGTTGGTCTTAACCTTCTCTCTGATGATTTCCCTGGCATATGTTTGCGAATTCTCTCAGCAAGACATCCCTCATTTCACTAAATACTTGCTAATGTAAGTTCAAGTGGATTAGTAAATAACATTAGGGGTATTGTGAAGAGATCTGAGAATATTTTTTTCTTTATTAGATACTGTTCATTTCTCAGCAATGTAATTTAGTGCACTGTATTCATCAGGGAGCTGGTTATTTACAAAACTGAATTCACTGCCTCTCGTAGTAGTTTAATAAAAATATTCTTTTTCAGCACCTTTCGTCAAGTCACTTTTAAGATGTTCAGATTGAAAATACTTTAAAGCTAGCTTCGGTACATATCTGACATCCACTGAAATGCTTCCCAATGTTTCATTTATTTTTGGTTAGACCTCCAAAACGTAATAAAAGTATCAGATAGACTTTTTATTAAGAAATATGAGGAAAACTAGTGAGTAGCAAATACCGTCTGGTTCAAGTAATTTTATGACTATCTTTTGAAGGGTTGAACAGTCCCATTCTTGGTTATACTGGAGTCTAAATGTGTTCTTCCGTTCAACGTATAATGCCCGTTTCAGGGTGGATTTTCCCACAAACCGTTATCATTAAGTGGACCAGTGAAGATCATGGGGTAATGGGGAGCTGTAATATCCTGGTTTGAGACTGTATAACACAATGAACCTATCATCCTACCAAGGAACAAACTTAGGGCCTTCAGTTTGCGAAGAATATACGTTGTTATTCAGCCATCAAGCAGGAATACCATTATCTATGCACCCTACATCTTTTCATTTAGGGATATAATGTCACCAGCAACAAAGATCAAAAGCGAGTTTGTTTTGAATCAGTGGAATTATAAAATTCAGGTAGATTGTGTAGCTTTTACTTGCATACATAGCCAAAGTGTTATCCATAAATCTCAAAGGCGATGTTGTCAGTTTTAAAGTATTCTTTACATTGACATCCTTTAAGCATGCAAGGAATATTTCCACAAATGGAGGAGCACGAAGATTTCCCTTTGACATATATATATGTCTTTATATTGTGTTAATCACTAAATTAGTACTGGAAATATTTGTTACACAACTTCAGCAAAACTATCAGTATCTTTGGCGTAGTACTTCAGCCTGGCTACATATGATACCTTTCAAACATTTAAGTATCATTTTCATAGACAACGATTCAAAGGAAGCCACGTATTTTATGTTTTACATTAATGCCAACAATTTTATCAATAAACTTAGAGATATCTTTCAAGTTTTACTTATTGAACGAGTTATATGTGCAGACAGTTAAAATAGCTAACATTGGCTGTGAAGGCTGTGTGACTTACGAAGGCTGTAGATTTATAAAAACTTTGTATTTCCTGCTATTAGTGACTCATAGAGCTATGCAGCTTTTAAACTATGATTTAAAAGTTTACGTAAGACTTGGTTTATACTATTTTCAGTTTACAGTGTAGTTAAAATAAACCTATTTTGTTTTAAAAAAGCACACTAGACCTGTTATTGAATCTCATCTGTGTAGCACCGTTGTTCATAAAAATACTGATGACAGGAAACACTTACAACAGACACTTAACAGTTCTGCCAAAATTTGGGCAGTAATTTAAAATGTGTTTCTTACTTTTCGCTACTACCATTTAATTAGGATTATTAAACGCATCAGTGCTTACAATTATGCCAAATATTTTCCCTAAGTGATCTATGCAACCTCTACAGTCAAGAATGTATCATCTTCTGAAAGGTAACAACATTTATTGGCTTTTACATCATTAAACGTTTTCTGCTTTTTTAAATTACACCTGTTTCAGAGGAATTCGCTTTGCAATTTATCAGTGAAATTGATGAAATTGCTCCAATGGAGGATGGATTTGATATTCTCTATTCTATTTATAAGAATCATTATGACAATACGAATGTCATCGAAGCACTGTTGAAACCGATCAAGTCTGTACTACAATACGGTAAGATAAATGAGTTTTGTCCATGTTTTCTTATGGAAATTTATGGGATTAATACACTTATACTATGTTTGTGTCATAATAACAACAAAGGCCACCTTGTCAAGATACCAAAGAAGGGCGACTTACCCCTCCCTCTGCAAGAACTGTCGTGGAATAATGCTTTTGTCTACGCCAAGTATAATACTAAGTCGCATCATCCTGGGGAGAATAAAAGATGCACAGGATGCAGAACTCAGCTAGCACGAAACAAGTTGGATTCACGAAACTCAAATCATGTGATGAGCAAATTGCAACTCTACTCATCGTCATCACAAAACAAAGCAAGAATTCCGGCAGTCAAACCTCTACCTTAACTTCATCGATTTCGAAAAGGCCTTTGACCGACAGTGTCTACCGAGAAGTAATTTGGAAACTGTTTCAGCATTATGATGGGTAGTGCCTGAATTTTTCTCAATCTTATTCAGCAGTTGCCTATATGACAATAACAACTTGTCATGTGATCCACAACGGATAACTCAGAGAGACGTTAGAAGTGGATACGGAAATTAAAAAAACAGACTGCCTCTTATTAGCGATGATATTCTTAATTGTGATAAACTGAATTATGCATCAGACTGTGGGGAGCGAGGAGTTAGGAAAACTCTGGACGACCGATAAGAAGACTCTAGAAGATCTGAATTCCGCACGTGGATGATATGTGTCTAATGTCATACAAATTTGAAGAATTAAAGGAAGAAAAGCAACCAAATTGGTTGAAGAAGCAGGCAGCGAAAGCAGGACTCCGGATGAATACAGAGATGACTCAGGTGATGAACATGAGCAACGGACAGCAGCAACGACAACATCTAGCACCAATCACCATCAATGGAAGAGATTAGACAGAGGTTACCTCCTTCACTTATCTAGGAAGCATGGTTTCAACCACAGGTGTATGGCACGGATGAAGATGTCAAAGCCAGTCAGAATCAGAAAAGCCAAGATAAGCCTTCGTCAACCTGTAACCCGTTTGGAAATCTTCTGCACCCCGTCTCAGCACAAAGAACACGATTCGGATTTTCAACACCAATGTCAACTCGGTACTTCTATACGAGTCAGAAACGTGCGTGTCACGAAAAGTATTTCCAACAGGTTACAGACTTTTGTCAACAGCTACCTTCACCGGCTCCATAGTGAAGATCAAATGGCCAGCGAGAAAGATTTAACAACAAGAAATTCTGGGGGAAAACTAACCAATAACCTATCGCTCAAGAAGTATGCACAAGAAAATGGAGACGGATGGCCTACACGTTGAGAAGACAGTCGAATGACATCGAGCGTAATGCAGGCCACTGCTCGAGTGGAATCTCAATGAGAATCAACAAGTGGGTCATTGGTGATACGGTGACATAGAGGAGATCTTGGGGCGAGGAGGAGATGAAAGTTTTCGGGCAGTCGTGGACCCAGATGCTGAAGCCCTATATTGCACTAGGAACCCAGGGGAACAATAATAATAAATAACAACAATAATTTTGAGGTTAATGTCTCAAGTTAATATGTATCGTTTTGATTTTGTTTTTATCGTAGTTGTAGTTAAGCTAATTTAAAGTAGCGAATGGAGCAAGATGTTCGTTATTGAGATATACTGGTAGTGTACAGTTCCAAATAAGATAATTTATTTGGTATAGTACACAGAGTTATGGTTAAATTGATATACTGAATACATTTCATACACAATTTCTCGTTTATGGTTTTAGAGTTATTTGGTCACATGACTTTCTAACTTGAAATTGATGAAGTGAATAAAATGTACGCAAAACGACATTAGTTAAACAAATAATACTTCATTACAGTGTTCTTTATCAAGCGAGTCATTGCATTTTCCACTCCTCCAGGTGGATATTTTATTTAATAAGCAGAGTTCAGAGTACTTAAGAATTCTAATTATTGGTACTTGCACTGCTCTGATTACATGAGTTGGAATTTCAACGGCTGATTCATAAGCCATTTCGAAGTAATGAAACACATTTCGATTACTGAGAAGACACAACAAGTGCTTAGAATTTCATCTGATTTCAATAGAATTTGTTGACTCAGTGTTCTACGAACACTATTATTTATATTTTTTGATTGGATACTAGTCAGTAACTAGTGTAACGTGTGTGTGTGTCTATTCCCGTCTTCGGCGCAAACTGAATTCTACCAGTCGAGTTTGCAATGTGGCCACCATTCTAGGTGGCTCGCCATTACTGTGCACTATGAGTTATTGGTATTAGATGGTTGGATGAAATCAGCAGGAAGCCCTTCTTAAGCCTAGGTTTCGTGGTAGTTGGCACTCACCAGTTAGAAAGGCGTATCTCTAACCTCAAAGGAAAACACGTCTATTCTGATGTTTAAACCCGTTTTACCCATCTCAGAAGTGTCATGAGTTCATTCAAGATGGTGAATACGCCTTGCTAACTGATGAGTGCTAACTAGCACGAAACCTGGGTGGAAGGCCTCCTGTCGCCTACCTCCGACCATCTAATACTGCTACTTAGAAATCGAATTTACAATTCGCGAAATGATTAGCGATTTGCAATCTACACAGTTTGAGTGAAATTTCACTACAGCTCTATACAGAAACCAGGTTATTCAAACCTGATACACCGCTGATGAATTAGGCCCCTAACGATGGGAGCTGTAGCCCGGTGTTTAAATAACCTCGATCTGGCTAGCAAGCACCACTGGTTGGTATTGGTGGTATGGAACTACTCATCTCGATCAATCAGTAATATATATTTTTATGCTAAGTGTTATTTATTTTTGATTACACACTAGTCAGTAACTAGTGTAATGTGTCTAGTTCTATCTTTGGTGCAGATTGAATTCTATCAGTCAGGCTTGCAATGTGGCCATCATTCTGGGAGGTTCGCCATTATGGTGCACTGTGAAATTTTGGCATTACATGGTTGGAGGCAATTGGCCACAGGAAGCCCCCGACCTAGGTTTCGTGCTAGTCGGCACTCATCAGAAAGGTGTATCAGCAACCTCGAAGGAACTCACGTCCCTTCTGAGATTCGAACCAGCGTCACCCAGTGCTGCAGTCAGAGACGTTACCACTGAGCTATTCAGGCTCGTGATTGACTTCGTGTAGGACAAGACTTCCTGCCGATTGTCTCCAACTATCTAATAAGTGTTGTTTATTTTGTGTAAAATATTTAAGAAGAAATATGATTCATAAACAAACCACGATAAATCAATCATAACAAAACAAAAAGTCATGTTTAGATACGTAAATGGGGTGGAAAGGTACTAGAGATTGAAAACTAAGATGGTAGTGCACTGACTTGGTTTGTCGATTCTAGTCACACAAGCCTCAGAGACTGTGAGTTTCTATATGTCTGTATGTATACTGACAACGGTAAGTGATTTAAATCTATCTACCTTCTGGCAAACTATGTGAGTAGTTTTAAATAATACAAAGCAGCACTATGAATAAAATTGTTACCCTGATAAACATTTCACGTGCATTTCGTATTAAAATTCATATTTTACTCTACAAATTATTAAAACTTAACGTTGATTTCTTCTGTTTTAGTATTTCATATTCGATAAGAGATAACAAAAAATAGCATTCAAATTTTGGCATTCTGTATATATTTTCATTAGATCTTTTAGGTTCTAATGACTGTTCAAAATTAAAACTATTACTTACATCTATTATGAGCAATAAAGATGAAGAACCGGTAAAAAGAAGTAGTTTGACTGTACTGCTTGCTTAGATTTTAATATTTTGCTTGATAAGTAGTTATATATATCCTAATATACTGGGTTGGTGTTGCTTATATCATTTTTTCACATCACTGAAAGTTGTTAGTATAACTGTAGTATTTGTTCACTGTGACAGAATGTAATTCTATATTAGATAAGTTTATATAAAATAATACACAACATTGCATTACCAAAAGCTGGATACCAAGAGTAATAAAGTGTGCCATATGCCCCTATACATGTACGGCCTTTGTCAAAAATCACTTTTACGAAATTGCTGTAGTGTATCTAAATCTCCTGAAGTGTCTAAGCTGGATTTATTCTGAGGCTTATAGGTGCCATATATATATATATATATATATATATATATATATATATATATATATATCGAGTTTTGCGAATGAAGTTTTAGCTCACTTACCATTGGTGTGAATATCACTTATTATTATATCCTTTAATTCCTAGAGGAACATAGGGCTTCAGCTGCAAGTCTCCATTGCGTTCGGTTCTCTGCTAAAGTTTTCACCTGGCTTCAGGTCTGCCCACATGATTTCATCTCCTCTTCGCATGACTTCTTCCAAGTCACCCTTGGACAACCAACTCGCCTCTTCCTATTCGGGTTCCACTCGAGCGATCGCCTGGCTTGTGATGTCACTCACTTGCTGGTTTTTTTCTCAGAGTATGGCCAGTCCATCTCCATTTCTCCCTGCATATCTGTTGCACAATTATTCCTGCTAGGTTGGTTCGCTCCTTGCCAGAGATCGATCCCTGTTGCTGATGTACTCTGATCTTGAGTAGTATTGGGCGAAGACACCTGTTGATGAAAATCTGTAGTTTGTTCGAAGTGCACTTCTTGACGCGGCACCAAGTCTCTGATTCGTATAGTAAATAGCACTGACATCACATTGGAGTTGAAAATCCATATCTTGTTTTTCATCCTGAGAGCTCTTGACCTCTACACAGACTTGAGGGTGATGAAAGCTTGTCCTGCTTTCCCAATCCTCGCCTTGATATACTCGTCAGTTCCGCCTGTACTTGAAACGATGCTACCCAAGTAGATAGGTAGGTAAAGGAGGTTGTTTCTTTCAGGTTCCTCCCATTTATGCTGGCTGATGTTGTTGCTGTTGGTGTTGGCCAGGGATCTTCATCACCTCTGTTTTATCTATGTTCACTTGAAGTCCTGTCTTTGATGCTTCTTCTGCCAACTTGTTGCCTTTTACTTGCATATCTTCCAGTTTGTTGGAAGTCAGACATATATCATCGGCGAAGTC